CGATTGAGTACAAACAATTGTGGTTTCATTGTTCCTGGGTTTGAATATGCGAATTGTTTGCTGAATTATGTTAACTGTTGTATGGTAAAAATGGTTCCACGTCATGTCTGACGATATGGACAATACTAACAATATTTCAGAGATTTCGGTAAAACCTCTTACATATGTGGCCTTATTGTTAAATTTCTGGTTATTAAATAATTTTGAAATTGGTTTGGGCGTCTTTTTAGCACGCATATAGTGCACCGAAGAGCCACTGACATTCTGTTCAAGAGTTAATTAGAATGACCTAGATGGTATTTTGCAATATACAGTGTTGAACTGCATTTTACGCCATTTTTCTCGTCTACCAGAACTGATATATACACACTAATAATTATAAATTAATAATTTTAACAAATAAATAGGTCACGTGGATAATGTATACCCGTGAAGAAGTCCAACTCTCCGCCCCGAAATGTTGTAGTGTAATTACCTAGCTTACGACATGACAGAGGGAAACGAAATAATTTGCCTATCCTCCATTAACTAGTCCATTCCTTAATTACTTTTCAATTACATTTCAGTTTCCTCCATAACTACCCGCAATGTTATTATAATAGCTATTGAAGACTCCTGAGATATTTACAACAATAAACCCTGCTTACATTTATACCGCAAGTAGCACACCAGGTAAATAATTCAAAGACAATATAAAACACATATTCTAGTCATATTAGAATTGCATATTACGTGAACTGGGAAGTCAATTAAATGCAGTTTAGCTATTTTGGTAATCTTTCCATCCACTATTCAACAAATATTCATATTTTTCGTCTGGTAAATTCACAATATTTTGATCACTAGCAGTAAGTAGCACCTAAAATACCTCAATTCAATCAAAAATTAAAGTTTACCAATGTTCTAGCACTGGTGGCGCATGTGCGACATTTGTGCTGGTAAACATTGATTTTCCCACAATCAATTGCGCTCTTCAAATGAAATACTCAAGTATGAGAGTGACCCGCCGGTGACTCCTTCAATACCTTCCAATCACCTAAAAATTACCTAATTAAAGCTTGGAAACGTCTCAGTTTGTACTTGTTGATCTGCGCAACAGTCAAAGTCGTCAACTTTGTTTATATGAGACCCGTATATCTCGCGCATGCGTGGCGTGACGACTACCACCCTTTAAACTTACAGCAACTACGCTTATGAAAACATGGCTTTTACATATGCAAGGTTCTCAAATGTTGATACTTGTTTTTATATATTGCGGGGTTGTGGCTCATTGTGAGAATAGCGGTGATGAGAATTTCTGTTTGCCGGGGATTAAACAGTGCAAGCTGCTGCACCGTTTGTTGTTTCCATACCAGATTTTTGAATCTGCCATTTATTTAGGCGTACGTATCGCACTACGAAATTCACAGATCCCGAACTGAGTACGTAAGTAGATATACTGTAGTGTTAAGACTTGGTTGGGCAAGTTATCATTTCTGTTACTGTATTTTTTTATTATCAGCATTACATTCATTCTATGATTTGCCTTCTCAAATCAACATTTGTTTATAGAAAATCAGGTCATACATAATATTTCAATAGTTGAAGATATCCTATTTTAATATTCTTGGTTATTAAATTTGATATGATATCCTTGGTTAAATTTAATTTAATTTAATAAACCACAACACAAACACAACACAACACAAACCTGGCATATAGGGAGAAATCTTTTTTTCTCTAGAACAATAAGTAAAATACGGAATGTGTAACAACATTCCTATTGTTTTTGGTATTCAGATTACCATGGCGATGAAGCCAATTATATTTGTTCTTTTGCTTGCCATCATTTGGATCCTGTACATTTATGTGGACTTCGGGAATTTACTGGAAATCACAAGATTCACAAAACCGAACTATAAAAAGAAGCAAATTGGGTGAGTTCTAACAAAAAGCGAGACTATATTTCTGAAAACTATGCAATAATGGTAGATATTAACAAGGTAGTAAAACCATCAACCATATTTTTCACCTATCATAATCATTTGTAAATCTATCATTGTTTAGATGCGTAGACACCTCGTCAAATAAAAGCGATGATGTGACGATTTTGTCAACCACTGCAATCAGAAACAGTAATGAAAACAACAAGGAGAGCGGAACCAACACAATGCCTGATACTAATAACAGAAGACATCACAACAAAATGAACCTGGGAAAGGAATCTTTGAGCCAAACTGGTAGTAATATAATTACTCGACTCGAACAGAAACAATTAGGAAAGAATACACAGCAAAATAACATAATGCCAGACGCTAATGGCAGCAATACAACTAAAAAGAAAATCAAGAAAGGAAACGTTTAGGCCACACCAATAATAAGGCAACACAAACAACTACTAAACTCGGACATAAAACAGAGAGAAAGGACAAAATTACCCAGCACGATACCGTAATCAGCTCATTTAATAGGCACAACAACAAATCTCATGATCAATTTAAACAATGCCGACCTAAGACCGCCTTCGTCTTTGTTAAGACGGGCAAACAGGTAGTTCAACATTGTCAAATATTCTACACAAATTTGGTGAGAGTAAACAGCCTCACAGAAACATTCATGCGAAATATCAATGCTGCAATACTCAGTAAATCTAAATACGATTTTATTGCTGGTCATTTTACAATGGGACGAGACGAGTACAAAGCGATACGTCAAGTCATACCAAAAGCTAAATATATTAGTATCATTCGGTTCCCATACGCTCAAGTAGAATCTAATTTCTATTACTCGAGACATGATATTCTACTTGGAATTCAGAATGACACCAATGCATTTAAAACCTTTCTTTTAAATCCCAATCCTCCTCGATCATTCAAAATTTAGGGTAATATCGAATCAGATTCGGTGGTTTGGGTATGATAAAAAACAAAATACCACTCAGAAAATACAAGAGATAAACGACGAATTAGACCTGATGATGATAACTGATTATATGGACGAATCTCTTGTTCTTTTGAAGAAAATGATGTGCTGGTCAGTCCATGACATTGTGTATGTCTCACAACGTGTAGTTAAGCGAAAAAGGTTGCCAATGACAACACAAATGAAACAAATACTAAAGAGTAGGTTGACTGCAGACCTTATGTTATATGACTATTTTAACACGACGCTATGGCAGAAAATAAAAAATTACGATGGAGATTTTGAAAAGGACTTGCATGATTTTCGTGCCATACAAGAATCAGGCCGTCCTAGCTATAGAAAAATGATTAGCCATCCGATGATTCAACTATTTAGAGATCAACATCTGCATAGTTTAAAATATTTATATTCATGTTTTGCCATAGTTGTCAGACAAAAATAAATCTAATTTATCTCATTTCATGATATGCAATATTCATTTACTATGTGGTGTGTAGCATTTACATTTGTGATGTTTAGTGTGGAATAGTAGGGTTAACGTCACGAATCATCACGTCATACATCATCATTTTATCTAGGACAAAGAAAAAAAAAATAGTGCAACAGAGCCGTTTTATTGCAGAGATGCTAGGATTTCACACTGTTAATAACAATATGAGGGGTGTTATTTCTGGCGATTATCGAAACCCGCTAGTGGTGGTTGCAACTGCAAATTCCCTTAATCCATAACGTATTTAGACGTCATTCCTTATCGTATCATCATAAATCAGCCTATGATTGGTATCATTAATATCTAAAATATCAATTAATTTTAGGTTCTAGACAATAAAACAATGTATCACCTGAGATCAATTACTTGTAGAGTTGGTTTGTTTGAGCGGCGCAATGACCTACATTATCAACAAGCTAAAGGTTATTGTATAATGTATCCCATGATACCCGCGTATAAACCAGCTCTATGATCATGTGGTATTAGATTTGAACATTATTGTATATTATTGCTATCAAATTATGTTGATAAGTCGGTTTGAAAACTTCCCATTCCATCGATAAGTGATTATGATAAAACTGTCAGTTCATGACTTGAGGTGTTTTTTTGTATATACTATAAATATGGGCACTTCAACATTACCCACGAAGCAATATTAACGAGAAATGTAGTTCACAATGGAAATCTCTAATACGCATGTGCATTGACTGTTTTAGTACGTACAATACGAATCACTGCACATGCGTACTAGTTGTTTTGATTTTTATGTGGGGCCTGCAAACGCAGCATTTTTCGTTTATGATAAATCATAATATGATATATCCTACAAATTGAATAAATAAATTTACGACAGATAGAGAATTACAGTTGTTGTAGTAACACAGACACTAGAGAAGCTCGATCGCTAGGATATGCATCCCTATCATTAGCCAGATTATGCAACAGATGGGCACACAACAAGCTTTGAAATATCACGATTGACAAGTGAACTCTCCGAGTCAAAGGTCGTCGTAGTATAAATGAGAGGACACAAAAAGATAGGATAACAGGAAAATAAAAACTAGTTCGGTGATTTTCTTGTACATTAGTACCTTCACTCAATAAAATATGTTTTAACAAAGCAATTATATCAAGTGATTCCCTCTCATAAACCTTCAATCTGACATTGGTGTAATTCCCATTACCCTTGTTTATATTTCTGTAGCCATAGGACGTTAATGTAAACATTTTCCATTAATGTGTATATTAGTGACGAAGAGAACACTATTACGAATTATATCAAACCATATTCTAAAGAATAGGGTTCTCTGTTGTGATTGGTCCCTTTATAGTTGAGATCAGTTTCCTTAATATTTTTGCCTCGTTTTTTAACACCCAGGACTATGGGGTGAGAATACCGCCAAAATTAGCATGGTGTCATTATTTGAACAATGTTTTGTTGTTTGGTCTTTATTTGGAAACTTGTTTGGTTATTATTTGGTCATTATTCGCGCTTATTCCATTATTGTGTTATCGTATTGCTATTGTTTCATTATTTCAACTTTATTTCATTATTGTGTAATTGCTACAATATTATTTTGTCATTGTTTCATTATGTTACAACTGTGTCGTTATTTAGACATTATCTTGACATTCAATTGTTATAAGATTCGGTTACTTTCACGTCCGAATGTCTTGACATTCGGTTCGCTTAACTTGCGATTACCTCAACATTCGGTTCGCTTGACTTGCGATTACCTCAACATTCGATTACCTGACCTAAATTAGCTGACTCAGCTATACATGTAGTATTCAATCCATAGTCCCGGGCCGCCTTCGATAAACCATTGCTCAAGATGGCAATGCGGCCTTTGTAAAAGTTAGCGGGAATTTCTAAATAATGCTCGTTTCACCAACATCCAGGGAACTGACTGAGGTCGTCAGAGCCTGTAGTGACGAAACATCAAATGCCGCATAACCTGTTGTTGACATGACGCGCCCCTAGCGAAATTCGCGAGAAATGATCCGACTTGATCATTAGATAATCACCAGAATGTGCCAAGAACCAATCACAAGACTGGTTACTGAAAGAGCAACTAATATTCTTCAAGCTGGTATTTTTTATAGATTTTATTTTTCATTCTTTTCGCCAGTTTTGTGAGTATAAAAATGTGAGCTGGCTAGAGCCTTTTTTATCCCTTGTCTATTTCTAATAAACTAGATACCAGCCGATCACGCCCCCTCGCCCATAGGCATGGCGTACAGTTTATTATAGTTCCTGGGGTCCCTGTGGTATAAGCTGTGAAAAGTGAAATTAACAATTCGTTTTTGGTGACGAGGCAGCTTGTTGGAACTGACCCCGGCATTACCAATGTATTACAATCAGGTGCAGCCAATGGAGCTGTTTTTTAGTGGGTAGGATACTTACATACAAATTATGGCAGGGTGGGTAACATAGCCTTTAGGGCAGGGTATAATAAAAAAAAAAACGCATTGGGGGAAAGAACAGCGAACATTAATTCCAGCTAAAATTAAGTATTTTACTATATATCAATTAGTCTTTTCGAGCCCAAAATAAGATACTAGTAGTTGACCCTAAAGTACTCCTAACCCTAAGTCATAACATCTCAGACTACTATAGTAACATTGACATGTGTGCATCGGTGTTTTTTTATTTCATTCAATAGATTTAGGGACACGGAAAAAACACCAGAAATAATTTTTCCTTGCTTTATACTCCACACAAAGAGTAATTTGTCAGTCGTGGCGAGTATGTGTGACAGTTTATTACCTCTGTGTGAATATAGTAAAATTATATAATTTTTGGTACGGTATCACTCTTTTGGGAAGATATAAAAAGGACCGTTTAGTTTAGTTTCGTTAGAAAACGATATGAATTTACTCCAATCTATGACCTTCGTATGTATGTATGTATGTATGTATGTATGTATGTGTGTGTGTGTGTGGGGGGGGGGTCGATCTGCTTAGCAGTCAAACTGAAACGAACACCCAACCTCGAGTTATTCTTCAATAGCATACATACACAGTGGCAGCGACAGCGATCGCCCCACGAAGAAAATGTTGGGGGCGTCGCCCCTCTAAAATCAAGCGGAAACCCATTGTGTCAGCAACATTTCCCCTCAAAATGCAGGAACTAGCGTTTTAGAGGGTCTAGATTTCAAATTTGTGCATGCCCCCGGACCCCCTAGAGGTTGTGAGCAGATCTCGCCCCCATTGTAAAATTTCGTCCCGCCCCATCTGAATTACAGATGTAAACTATAACTAGTGCCAAAAACGTACAACGTTGCCATAGATCCCGTCGAGTAACAATTTTTAGGGCGGATGCGTTCTCACTGACCTAATATAAATACGGTGTTTTCTCCGATGTTCAAACAAACATTGGCCAAATTAATGCTCGGTGTGCTTACTAGTAGTTTCCCATAGGATTGCATGCATAAAATGAAATACGGAGAAAACATATGGTTATGAAATGATGGGTCTAAGAAGTATACTGTCAATAAATGTGATATGAATAAACACAAACATACATTATTCTATAAACCGTCAAAGGTTATATATAAAGACCGATAAAACGAATGAATCCCGCCATTCACAGCAATCGAATCAAAACAAAATTGAAACTGTGAAACTGCTTTGCGAGAGAAAGTCGACATTTACGAAAACCTTGAAGACAGCATAATTATGATTACTGCAGATGCGAGGCATGGCTGGCGAAAAACTCTCGTGACACTGACGTGACTGCTATTGGCACTGAAACCCACAAATTCATTACCAATGCAGTTGTTACCAACGAAGACAACCGATTTCGTAGCGCCATGAAATGAATGGCCCGCTACAAATATATCGGCATCTTGACAATAATGGAGTGAACGTAAAAAAATCACGCCTGATAAGAGAGACCGGGGAATGAAAATCAGAATGATACATGGTTCAACTTTTACTAAAAAAAACCATGATGGCACTGCCAAGTCAGCTGAAAGGCCGGTTATTGGCCGTGTCAGCCGTGTCACGATCAACTGTGTAATAATTCCTCCTCACTTCAGTCATCGCA